ATTAAACCATCACATTCATATTCAATTTTCTTTAGAATTTTAAGCTCATAAGATGATATTGACTTAAACTTTCATCAGGATAAAACAACGCGTTTCCACACATCAAGGAACTTGCTATCATTAAAGGAATTCAAAAATAAAAACTATACATGCATTGTCTTCCAATATGGGCTATGGGAAAAATGGCAGTATGTGTCGTCAAGAAAAAAAGAAAACATATATATAACTAAAACAGCCCTGATGGTAACTTTCGGATGCAGCAACATCAATCCACAAGTGACAGAGTGACAACTACAATGGCATGTAAACTCCATTCAAAATCGTTCAACGACCACATCCAGCCGAATGGCAAATGGACAGTACTATGATCAGAATCAGGGCAATCAGGATACCAAAAACTATCAGCTTTATCTTCATGTTCTGAAACCACATCTTCCTCCTCATCCTGGTTCCCTGCTGCCTGAAATCTTGTGCCTATGAAACAGAATTGGACATTAATATTATGACACACATTGGACAAAACCAGGACACATAGACCAAAGACAATTCAATCCAGAATTTCTGAACTATAATTTTGTAGTATGAACCATTGCAGATTGGCAACAAGGGAAGACGAAAGTATCATGTGCATCTTAACCACATTATCACCTCTATACTGGGATGCTGTAAATTATATCAAAAGATTTAGATAAATTTTTAAAGTATAATATGTCATTCCAGATTTCCAAAAAAATTTGTTTGTTTAACAGTTTGCCACTGAGCATGCCAAGAATTTTTCCTATTTATGATCCACCTCTAGTTTGGTTAGAAAAATAACTGATATACACTTTGGAGCCTAGAGTCAAACCACATGATCTCTGTTACTAACCTGAGATCGAAGGTTTTCTGTTTTGTCCACTAGAATCTCAATTTTCTCTCCACGGTCAAGAACCTGCAAAAGACATTTGCTAGTGAAATACCTGATTATAGATCTTTATAGAACTTAAGATCAAAAACTTCAAACACCCAGATAACACACTCATTGCATTAAGCAACTACTATATTCAATTACCATACATTATCAAAAAGTCTAGAAAATTGATTAGTTTCCACATATATCTTTTACTTCTTGAGCATTAATATAAACAACAAACTAAAACAAATAAATTCAGCAACATCACTCAAGACAATAAACAAAAACTTACTTCCTTTAGATTAGTGATAGGTGCAAAATAAACCATAAGCTTTTAGCAGAAGTACAAGAGGCACTAATAACCACTCACCTTTTCTATGTTTTCCATCATAACTCCCTTGACTTCTGAAACTTGAGCTTTCACTTTGGCAAGTTTACTGACCTCCTCTGGATGATCAACGCAATACTGCATCTGCTCCTTCAGTTTTGGCCTACATCAATGATATTAAATTAACATAAATGTAAAGATAAAATAAGATCCCATTTCATGAAAAGGAAAAGAACAATACCCAAACTCCTTGTTCAGGCTATTTGCAGCAGCTGTTGATGCTTTTCCTCCACCGTATCTCTTTGTGAAATCCTCTTTGACTCTCTCAAGGAAGGCAATAGGAACCTGTCGGCCAACAGATTCAACAGCAACTACACAGTATGCTGCACAATCACAAAGTAAGCTCAGCAAAGGAAAGAGATTATTTAATCAAAAAACTAGCAAAGCAAACATGTACAAAAGGTGAACAGATAAGCAAACATCAAGCAAGGACTCATATCCCATTGCTCCATCAAAAACTGATGGATCAGAAGTTCAGAAGTCAGAACTGCCTTTCTTGTTAAGACCATGAGGAAACACCTCTCCCCAAGTGGCTCTCTAAGATCTAAATTGTCCATTTTCTTAATAAAAAAAGTCCATTTTCTGTTGACACATATTTTCACTATAGG